CGGTCGGTCACACCACCACACATTGAAGCGCGTCAACTTCGACCGCACAAGCGTCAACCGTACCAAGACCCGTTATAGGCCGGGTTTACTGACCGCTACCACTATAATCTCACTGTTTAAACACCAACATATACGTTTCGGGTTTAGGGTTGCCACCGCGTACCCATGCACAAAATGCCAATGTACACCCACGGACACCATATCACATTTATTCATCACAATATGTGGCGACACATCAGCGTCAACACTAACCTGAACCACCCAAAGTATAAACATCCCACCACAGTTGACTACACTCCCTGCAATCCTGTACCCATCATTCCTAAGTTCCACCATACCAACACGTGCCGTCACTCACATAGCAAAAACCTGTTAACTAATTGCACCTTGTTGTTGCTGTACGACGGGCACACGTGCACAACTCTCTGCAGGCTGCCCAGCTCCACCACCGAATACCTCACCTTCTCCACTTTCTTGTGCAGCTGCGTGCACCCTGTAAGCTTGCAGCTTCCCGCCCTCTCGTAGTACCTCACGTATGCGTATCCCTTCCACTCCCCATCACGGTCAAGCGCCCTGAAGATGCACAGACATCTTGCATACCAGTCCCCCTTCTTGTTGTTCAGAAGTGCCACGTTCGAGTACCACCTCTCTCGTGGAGATGCCTTCACAAACGTCCCTTTGGCCACCAGCTCGCCGCCTCTTGTGCGCGGAATGGCCACCGCGGTGTGGACCTGTCACGCGGTTGTGTACAATCCAACATCTCTTAGCATCATGAGTGCAGTGGCAACCAACGTGCAAGCCCCAGGTGCGAGATGTATGTGCGACAGCATTATCACCACACCTGCACGTTGTTGGTAGCCAGGTCCAACGCCTTAAACTCCGCGGCCATCCCCTTCATCTCGTCTCCAAGCGCGGCTGTGTACTCATCGTACACCGGATCCGACGCCCCGCCTATGCGCATGATCCGATACTTCTTTGTAAGCACCGGTTTCCTCGTCTTGATTGCCTGCACGTGTACAACCACGTTCCCACAACAAGCCGCAACCTGCCTCAGGCTCCGCTCGTACATGGGCACCCGTGCAACATTACACAATGAATGGCCATCGTAGCACCAACCACTCCCCTACGCACCTCGCGCAATGCAGACGCATACTGCCGCCCACCGCCGGCGTCTGCAGCCACCTCACGGTACACCTCTCTCTGCACCTCCTCCTCCACGATTCGGCGCGGAATGTCGCTCCAGTTGCTCCCTCTAACTGGACCCTTGACCGTGCCCTTGTGCGTGCGCTCCCACATCTCAGTGGAATAATGGTGCGGCATCCCGCGCTCCACCACGTTGTCCAGTAAATGTCTTATCATGTGTATCTTTGGTAGTCTCCAGTGGGATGCCTGCGTTGGAAATGCTCTCGGGAGCAACGCCACCAACCTGCCACATCGTCCACGATGGCAGGCAACAGTCAATGCACACTCGTGTGCCACCCGACGGCCGCCACAACAAACCCACCGCAATTCCGACCAGCGATGCACCTAATGCACACACTTACGCTATTGCATGCTGCCGTGCAATCGCAATGGTGGTATGTGTGTGCCGGTCCACAGCCAGAAACGCCTTGTAAAACACAGCAAACAGCCTGAACGCTTTGACCTGCAACGCGCGCAGCTCTCCCGGTTCATCACCCTTCAACGCGCTCTCGTCAGCCACCAAGATCGGCATTATCTGCATCATGCTCCTGTGCTCGAACGCAGCGTAGTTTGCGCCGGAACTGAAGAACGATGAGCCCCCTGGGATTCGGAGGAGCACGCTAGGCGTGATGGCCTTAAACTCCTTCTTGCGTCTGCGCACACCAAGTATTCGACGTGCCCATCAGCGCTGCACACATGGTGTACTACAACCCAAATGACCCCACCAGGATATGACATGCAGGCTACAGTCTGCTCACCGTTCAAGCGTCCGCATCTCAACCTTCCCAAGCGGTTCGATGTAGGTGTCCATCATGTGGATCAGCACACCGGAGTCCAGAACATGCAGTGTGTCTGCAAGGCATGCCAGATACACGTTGCCCCACTCTGTGTCCGCGAAATTCCACCTGTGAAGTACGCACTGCAATGTCCAACCAAAGACACGACCGCGTCATTAGGTTCCACCGTACACTACAGGCACGCAAACGCCCTCAGGGTTTAGCCCACCTCGATCGGATGTGTTGACCATAGCCTCCGCACGGCGTCAGCGTCGCCCTTCTTCTTACACGCCAGGATCTGGCGGACAATGTCCCTCTGCATCTCGGGGGTACGCGGATCGGCCTTCCCCACCATCATGGTCAACTCCCCCTTGTCTGCATAGCAGTTAGCGCACGGCCGGTGCGTCCCCTGCTGAAGAGTCGCAGAAGCTCTGCTGGACTCCGGAAAGTCGGCAGGGTATCCGTACAGGCAAGGGACCGCTTTGTGCACCTTCCCGTCCGCGTCCGTGCAGTAGAAGAAGCGAACTGGCCCGCTGCACATTGTGACTATGCACACGTGGCCGTGAGTTAGGTTAGGAACGTACACACAATACGCGGTCATAACACGGGGCAATATCTGCTGGGGTCCCCACTGGCCTGCTGCTCGTGTAGCATATGCACCTCAGTACCTTGCAGATTCTCGCATGATGGGCGCGAGGATGATCTTCAATGCCTCCTGGAAAACCCGCGTCTTCTCCGTGGGCGATGCCCATTCGGGTGGGAATGGCAGCACCGCCGCCAACGTGTGCCCAGGCTCCACCCCACGTAATTCCGCTGGTATGTTGATAAGCGAGATCAGCACCGGCCACGCGTTCCTCCGACCATTCCGTGATGCCTGGGTGCTATCACTGTATATCAGCACGCCTAGTATGAGTGCCTCACTGTCATTAATCTCCTTCTGCCATGCCAACCATACATGCCCTTGCACAAATGTTAGACTCCGTCTTATAGCATTCTGGGACTCACATGTAATGTGGACTGGCCTACCGATGCACTTACCTGAGCAGCGTGCATCCAATCGCCCGTCTCCGGCCCCTCGAATACCCTCTCGCCATTCTTCTTCCGATGAATCTTCTTAGGTTTCCACACGAACCCTTTCTTGGATGAGAACGTCCGCACCAGCTTCTTCAGAATTTGCGCGCATCGGGATATAATCAGGAGTGAGCGGCAAGATTCCTTCCCAGTGACGACGACGGGGGATGCGGGTGTGGCCGCCGTTTACGAACCAGCTCTGTGTCGCGGTAGTGCAGTAGCAGCTTCATTTGCATTCCTTTGGGGCCCCGCACCACTATCTCCTCCGTTTTCCACGGGACCATGTCTGCTGGAGCGCGCGCCATTCCCCATCGGCGCACGTCCACCCAGTTGCGCCATCGTCGGAGGGCCCGTAAGTTGAAGCGCGGGTTGCGGAAAATGTGTAACAGACGGTTAACTTCCCGGTGCGAAAGATCGGCGTCACGGAAGAATAGATACAACTCGGTCAGTGTGTCGAAAATCTCCGCCCTCTCCCTGTGTTCCGATGACTCCGCATTCTCGCCGTCAGCTGGTGTATCCGCGACGCTAACCAGGCTAACTTCGGGAATAGAGGCGGTCGGAGCAACTGATACAACACTGCCGTCATTATCCTTAAGCCGCGATGCGGGCGGTGTGTTTGGTCTACTCTCTCCGTCACGGGCAATTGCTTCCAAATATGCCGCCAACAAAAGACTCTCCCGTTTCCTCTTCAACTCTGCGCGACAAATTGCACCGTTAGCGACATGTGACTGTAACCGGCTGTCGTCCTTAAACACCGTCTCGCACACCATGCAACTGTTCCCCGTCATCCTGCAACCTTGAAACCCTAGAGACCGTGGCGATAGAAACTCGGACTGGCCACAGGTGTGCTCTAACACAACTCAGAGGATCAACATGGTGCACACTCATGTGCACAGAACCTTGAAAAGTGTGCACATACCATCTGTTCGATTGTCACCGGTAAACATTATACACCCAACCATAATGCACAACCATATTATAATTGCAGAATGTGTAACGGTGGTCCGGTAAATAACACTCCCCGTTTTTGACCCGGAATTATCAGCGCGGTCATTAGTACGACCAGAAATAGAAATAGCCAATAACTGACGTTGTGGGATTGTACACAGCTGGCTCCATAAGACGTTGTGTATTGTTTTTGCACGTAATATACCCGTTATGCATATTGCAATATTGTTTACGACAACCTACAAATTTTACTTCCGCTTTTAAGAGTACACGACTACATCGTGTACAACCCATACTTAGTGCGCGCTGGTGGCCCAACAACCCAAGTGCTGACGTCCGCGTACGCCGTTATCGGATTCCGCGTCACTTGGATTGTACAAGGAAAACCAAATGGTGTTCCATGCACCAGAATTGCTGACCCACCCTAAATCTCGCATCCTCGTGTTCCGAACCCCTTGGTTTACAACACGTGGATATGCATGCTGCCTCACCATCACATCCAGTCTCGTTATCGAGTCACAGGTGGACATCGCATGCGCATCTCATCCAACGGTGTATACCATTTCGCCTATGCATGCCCAACACCCACCAGGTTATAGGCGACATCTTGGCCCACCCGTCAATCAGAGTAGTTCCCTCCAGGCGAGATCCGTGAGTGGCTGTGTTCTCCCAGTCATCCCCTCCGTGCTCACCTCGTATTAAGGCCGGCCTCCTCCGCATGGTATTCAGTGTCCGTTCTTGATGGCGATTCCTAAACAGTCTGTCTCTAAGCGCAACCGGTTCCATGAACCGGAGACTAGCAGCAGCGGCGATGACCAAGATCCTGACCCGTCTGTTCCCAGAACCAGAGCGTCGACCAAGGGCGACAAAAAATCACCTCCGTGTCCGCCGACAAAGGACGGCGGAAGGGCTTCTAGGTTCGCGACCCATGTCGTGGAAAAGGCGACAGAGCCGGTGCCGGACGATGTGGTGGCCGCTATCGCCCGGAACTATGCGAAATCATCTTACTGCAACATCAGGCTCATGAATCACCGCGGTGTCGGATGTGAGGTGGACAAGGACGACTTCATGTCGATCGAGGACGAACAGTGGATCACCGATGGCGTGGTGGACTTTCACAACGTGTAAGTACCGTGCTGACCGCCCCGCACATGCGCGCGCTTTTGTACGATTTTCTGCGCATCTCACTGTAGCACGGTGTGTTAACTTGTTCGTGTTCACCTCTGCGCAGGCTGCTTAGCATCAGGAAGCCGTCGCTCCGCGACGGCAAGACATGGGCCGCCATGGACTGCAAGGCCTATTCACAGACGACAGCTGCGCATGGAGTGCCGTTAACGCTGGGGAGTGGGCGGCCGCTTTTGGAACACGATTATCTTGCGATCCCGGTCCTAGAGTCGTGAGTGTACTCATCTTACCAGTGTTCCCGGTTGGTTTCCGTGATGTGCAACCGACTGCTGTTTAACACCGATCCCGTTTCACCCCAATCTTCTTGCGCGCAGTGAGCACTATTCCCTCGTCATCGCTATAAACCCATCGGTGCTCACCAAGACGCAGAGAACCAAGGGCAAGGAGCGCCTGACTTTGGTCTTGCTGGACAGCGCGATCAAGAATCGAAATAGCCACAAGATTTTCGCAGGCACGAAGCTGTGAGTAGGGGTTTCGGCATAACGAAGCGCATAGCATATACGTCCATGCTCAATTTTGTTAATACCGGACGAACTCTTGTATGCAGGTTGCTGTCCGAACTCGCAAAGGCGAGTAACCCAAACGCTAACATGGAGGTTGTGGACAGGACGCTGAGCGCGGCGGACTGCGTAATTCTACGGGTGAGTACGCCTCGTTCGTTCTGTACACAGCTGTGCTGGTTGCATACACAGGTGTGCATACTGATAACTTCGGTATTCGTTACCCTTATGACAGGAGGATAAGCTGCCACAGCAGCCGAACAAGGAGGACTGTGGGATTTTTGTTTGTCAGTACCTCAAGACCCTGGTGCATACCGACTTCGCCACGGTGTTTTCGGGCCTCTGGTTCCAGGGTGTGACACCGCACCAATACAGGCGGGAGATGCGCCGAGACTTGTGTGCACACGCTGGCGGAGAGCTTCTGAAACAACTACAGGAACTGGGGATTGAAGTCCCGCCGCAAGACGAAGGCCTGGTTACCGCAGAGGGGACAGTGGTGCAGGTGAGAAACACTGCGGAGGGAGATGGGAGGCAGGCGCCAAACACTCGCCATGATGAGGACGCTCGGTTTACGGAGATGACGAGGCGCATAGCATCGCTGCATAACGATGTGAGGTACCTGGACGCCAGCTTCACCGTGATCGCCAACTTCGTGGGCCTGAGCCGGGACGAGGTGGTGTTCGCTGCAACCCAACTGCTGCTGCATGGAGGGGTCGCGGGGAACGGCACGAAAACAGAGGCGGGTGGCAACAAGCATGCGCCACGCACACCCCAGCGTCCGTCTGCCCGGAAGAGGCGAGATGACAGCAGTCCTGAGGAGGACGGCGTGCGCAACCTCACCCAGGTGGCGCTGGCCTCCACGTTCGCCGCATGTGCGCCGACACCGAGCCTGCTGCAGAACCCGCTAATCTCGAACGGGGCCATACCTCCCTGGATGTTGACGCGCCCGCGGCTGCTGTCCGGCACGGGTGTGCCAGCTGGACCTGACGTGTGGGGAGACAGGCTTGGGCAGGAGACGGCGAAGGCCGACGAAGAGGAGGATCTCGTGTCAGACTCAGATGACGAGGACGGTGGCGAAGATACATGTGCAACCAGGTACACGGGTGTGAAGCTGGATCCGAACACCGGCAAGTACGGCGTCAAGATTCTGTTTAAAGAACGTGGGAAGCGCAAGCAGCAGAGACTGGGAGGGTACACCACTGAGGAGGAGGCGGCATTTGCATACGCCGCCGGTGCGTTCGTGCTGAGGCCTAGCGAGAGGATACCCAACACCGTCAGCCTGTCGGCCGCAGAGAAGGCAACGCTGCGGGGGTGCACCAAAGAAGATTTACAGACCCTGGTGGAAGCGAGGAAGTGGTGGAGGTGGAGGAGTTGGCGTGAGGCGCTGGAGAGCGTGGGCCAGCGGTTGAAACGAGTGAGGAAGCGTGGGGGTGCAACAGGTGCATCAAAGAGGCGCAGGGTTGTGGACCACGACCACACAGCTACCAACGACCCAGCGGCAACCGACAATGCTGAGAGTGGGGGGACGGCCCCAGTGACAAACGAGCAAGGCGGAGGTGCAAGGGACAATGACCAGGAAGAGCGGAGGGAAGACACTGGAGCTGAGGAGAAGACATCAGAGATGGTTGCAGAATTGGTGTGGAGTCAATGTGTGGTTGAAACATGTCCGTGCACGTAGTTGCTCACCCTTGTGTAGCTTTCGGATAATGTTGCATTTGGAATGAAGAGTCTTGTGCGTGCAAAGTATGAACGACAAACACCGTTAGCTGGTAATGCAATCGTGAACTTGGTGTACTACATGTTTAAGTGAGTAAGGGCCTCAACGAATACCGGAACCAGTTCCGTGACGAGTGTCCACACAATGAAGGTATGTGGACAATGTTGTGACCACATGATGTGCGCAGTGTATGGTTCGGGGGTGGACACCCGTCAATGTGCGAGTGACGTGGTGTTCTGTAATTGGGGGTTTTGGATTGCGGTCATCCAGATGTGTACGAGGCAGTATTGGGTATCAACCTCCTCATGTATTCGGTGCAGCGGAGTGTCATGGAAGCTGAGCATCTCACCGCTACGTAGAAAAGTGGTTATCGCGTCATTATGTGCGCATCTCACTGGATACTTCAGTTGCTTCAATGGATACCTCAATTGCTTCTGAGGATACCCGAGCTGGGGGACGCTCCCGTCGTGTCTCGCTCCCGCCTGCGTACCTGCGAGTGTCATACCAGTTGACGATGCCGCGAGGTCGACTGTCCAACGGGAACCGTGGGGCGCCCTTACCCAAGAGCCTGAGCTTCCGCAAGAAGGGGAAGGAGGTGGTGCAGCCAGAGGAAGGTATGCATTACGATCATGAGTGGATCAGTCACGACGTTCGCGGCGGTTGTTGCGCGCGTATGCTAACTTGCGGTTCTGTGCGCCTGTTGTCATTCTGTCACCCACAGATGATGGCACTGGGGCGGAGAGTGCAGATTCGTCCGAGCGCAGCGAGGATGAGGACGAGGAAGGCGGAGACACGTCGGCATCAGGATCAGGCGAAGAATCAGCCGAGCCCGCTAAGGGGGGGAAGACGGACGACGATGGGCGTGCGGGACCATCCGCGGCCAACGCTGACACTCGCGCTAATCACGACGTGGACGGACTGGTGGGACCCACACGCTGGGACACAGTGGACGCCAACAACGATGACGTGCGCATACCGAGCCGTATCCTCGAGCAACTCATTCAGGCTCAGGACAAGAGCGCCAAGGAGAACGCGCGGTTGGAGGCGCTGTTCTTGAATGCGATGTCTCGGCCGTCCAGTGGCTCTCATAAGCGTAAGGCGACCAGGCAGAGAGACCCGGGGCAGGGTTGTATGAACCCGAAGCGTAAGCGTGGCGAGACGTGGAGTGGCGGGTGAGACGATGACGGCGAGGACGACGATGACGACACACATGGATCTGGTGGCCGTCATATGCGCACGGCCAAGTCTCCTATTCTGCAGCGCGCCTTGGAGCATTTGCCTGCGGACAAGGCGTGGAAGGTGAGCGGGCCCGTTCCCGTCCGGTTCCATTATTCAACCGTCATGCATACCGGTGTGCGCCACTCATGTTGTTGTGTATACCTTATGTGCGCAGCGGGTGTGCGAGCTGGCCAGGGTGCACATGTTTCTCAACAGGCCGACGTCGATGATGACCTTCTACCCGAGCAGCGACGACAAGACACACGGGGTGTGTGCGGTGCTGGACCGCCTGCCGCATAGCTTCGCCTGTTTGGCGTTGGCGGCTGACAAGTCGCGTCGCGCTGATCTCAACAAGACACTCTCTGAGTGGAAGACGCGGGCTGCCGCCCGCGTGCGCGACATTGCACTTCCCAAGCTCGGCTTGTTCCGCGACGATCGGGACGCATCCAGCCCATGGGCACCGGAGAAGGAACGCAGTATTGAGAAGATCCGGGAGCGCATTGGGTTCGGCGCTGACCCCCCTGGTGAGTGCGGTCTACCCCAGCAACCAGGCTTGCCACCGCATCGTTATGCTGTCACCCTCGTGCGTGACGGCCGTTGACACTGACCTGCATGCACGTGGGAATGCAGAAACACTGGTGCTCACGACATGGGCGACAGACCGGGATGGCATGCCGTTCGCCTCTCGGGCGTTCGCGACATGTGCGAAGGCTGCATTCAGGCCCAAGAAGGCCGGCCTGGTGATGACGCTGAAGGTGTACCACCTGGCCTGGTTGGAGCATGTGGTGAGTCTGTGCGCTCTATGTGTGCCATGCATCTGTGTTGTTTACGTCGGACCATTTGAGTGACACGATGCGTGATGGCGCAGGTCTCCGACTGCGTCCTCTACTGGGAGCAGAGGAAAGGCCGGCTTTCCAACTCGGCCGGCGGAAACGCCCACGTTGTGGACGGCCTCAAGGTCCTGGTTAAGGAGGCCGTGGAGAGGGCGATCAGGATCCGCAACCCGGAGTATGACGCGGAGCGGGAGGCGTGGATCTGGGGGCGCCATGGTCTGCGCATCTCTGCGTGCGGCCTGGAGCACATGAGGCCCGCCGGCGCAGCCCAGCCGGAGGAGCCAGTGGGGGACGACGACCTTTCGGCATCCGTGGGGGATGAGTAGGACGGCTGGCGTGGAGGGGATGGGGGAAGCGTGGGTTTTACCGTTGCGGGGACAGTAGATTGGCTGCGTGTGTACGATGATTTGCGGCTGTGTGACAGGGTTATGTGTAGCTGTGGAACGCGCACCTGGGTTAAGCATGTGTCAGTGTTGAAGATGTGGGGGGGTTAGACATAGGCGTGGAGGCGTTGTATGTTTGTGTGTGCGTTTGTTGTTAATGGGAAAAGCTTCAATTGGGGTATTGCTCGCATATGACAGCACATAACAGAAACTATATGGTGCATGCCACAGCGAACCCGCCGTCGCCCAGATGTGCGGGACGGAGAGGGATGCGCCGCATTCTGCGGCGAATTTTACGGTGTGTGCCATGTGTCACCTGTACGTTGGACGTAAAGGACGCAGCGGTGCGCGTAAGTGGACATGTGGTTGGACCGCAAGAAGGCTAAGGGATGACGTGGAGCCAATGGTATGGGAGGGTGGCACGCGCTTGTACACCCGTGTCACAATCGTGGACGAGCGTGAAGATGAGGCCGACGGTGGGATGTGCGCTGTGATATGCTATACGGGTGCGACAAATGCACGGTTGTGAGTGGTTCGCGCATACGTCGCAAACGTGAGCCACGATGGGTAGGGCAACCGGTTACCGTTTGTGCGATTGCATGATCGGGTTGCAAGTGTACGGGTAAGATGGATTAATTGTGCGTGACGTGGAAGGTCGGTGGTGTTTACGATGTATACAGATGGACGACGCAGGTGTCGTCGTCATCTAGTTGCGAGCGCAACCCTAATGGTAGGCGAGACTTTTCGCGAAGTGCACGAAACGGTGGCATTGGTTCAGGTGTACGGTGTTTATGCATTGGCGCGTCTGGTGCGGACGCACGATGCGCAAGTGGAGTGAGGCCGCGTGGATGAGGGGTAGTGGCTACCGTTGGCGTGATATGCGGTTTGCTGCCCTATGGGATGCATCCAAATGTACGGTGTGGGAAGGATGCTTGACCACCAGATGTACGGTGCAGATCGGAGCGCGGTGAGCTTGCAAGGATGTGCGAGTTTGTGTGCGCGAATGCGTAACGTGCTATGCGAGTTTATGTACAGGCGACACGTGTACCGTAGTGATTGCGTGACCAGGGTGTCCATCCAACGGTTGTGGTTGCTGTACGTTTTGCTGCATGTACGCTTACGTGGACGTGGGAGTTGAAACAGTATGCCACGTGGGGAAGCCCGTACGGATTGGCAGTTGGGGTTACGTGCTCGTCGCTTTCGAGTTGGTTGACACGGTATGGGCAGGTGAACATTTGGGTGGAGCAGCCCGTGACTGTTTAGCATGTGCGCAGATGCGGGTGGCGTTGCTAAACGGTTGACTGAGTTTGTGCAGAAAGGCGCGGGAAAGTGACTCGGAAGTTACTACGCCAGTGACTGTCGCCACGCAGTTCTAAAACCTTGACTCAAAAGTGCCGGGGGTGTACTATCGGGTAAGTTGTGCAAGAGTGTATTCAGGGTTACTTTCCGCACTTCCCAATTTCGCGATGGAGGTGACGAGCCCGCTCGGTATCCAACAGTATGTTGTCCTCGTTAGCGTTGTCCTCGCTACTATTGTCCTCCTTGACGTTGTCCTCGTTACTGCTGCCGACGCTATCATCGTTCTCGTCGCTGACGTCATATCTCGTGGTGTCCCCAGGGCTCTCGTCTGGGGAGTCCGGTCCCGCGCAGACCGAGCGATACGCAGGGTAGGTGGCATGAAGCGGGTACCTAGTAGGTTGATGCGACGAAGCGAGACGCCATGATTTGCTGCTGGCATAAGTAATCTGGACCTTCTAATAACCGCAGTACTACTAACTGTGGCGGCGGTGCTGGAGTTCCTGGGAGGGCTCATGCAGACAGCAATCGCGTTGAGTCAGAACGTCAAGAGTATCGTAAGCTAACCACCGTTGTGCTGTTCCGAGTAATCAAACCTCGAGGGGGAAAAAAAAAAAATCCGTGTTGATATTCTGGCAAATCGCCAATATTTCTATCGTGGAAACTGAGGAGAACTTCACACCCGTGCGCAGCAGACGGAAAGCAGACCTACGAATCCTCGAGCCACCATTGGCGATTACTAGCTGGCAGAGATGGCACGACTGGTGAGCAGCGGAGGCGCTACTGTTAAATCAAGGGAGCTCGGACACAGCAGGTAAATAGCAACGAAAGAACCAGGTGGGAAAAAACGTCGTACGTGGGGAAAATGGCCATTTCGACAGATTGGTACTAATGACTCTGTCACTCACGCTCTGCATGCACCCGTGCAACGGCGTTCCCAGTGGAACCATGGTTCCCGTGCTCCTAAGGAAGTATGCTCCCGTGAATAGTTTAGTAAATCGTGAATCGTGTAGATAATGAAAAATGAAACGTGAATTTGAGAACTATAACTGACGAACCAACACGATTCATTTTGACCAAATCATAAACCTGAGGAATGAAGCTGGAAATCCCACGCGAATCACATGCTCCTTCAATGGCGTGTTAGCTGTCCTTCAATGGCTCTTAGCTGGGACGGAGCGGCATCCATGTGCCTTGCAGACCCAGCCCAGCTCACACGGGGTGCAAAGCATGCGGGATGCAAAGCACAAGATGTGCAAGTGGGAAACCTAAAGCTGCGAGACGAGGAGATATGATTTTAAGCTAACACGAACACGACTAACACACGTGCACTTATTTGCGGCACGCTCTAGCAGTATGGCACGCCATCCGCTGTCACATACTGATTGCCGCGACTCGCGCGAGATGCACGCTCGATTTCTAACGAGTCGCAGCAGGCGTTTCCTCCGGCTTTTTAGCTGGCGGACGACGGGGCGAATGATATCCTGACAGCTCCAAGGGAGGAACGAGCGGCAGCGCGGCAGCGCGACAGACTGCCAAGCCAGGGGTGATGCAAGCTTGCGTCCTCCTGGCTAGAACTTCGCGAGCGCAAATAAGAAATAGGATTGAGCAAACGGTGATTGAGGTGAGGATTCGTACGGAACAGTGCAGCACAGTACAACGAAGGGAAGGTGCTTGCTTGCAGAACGGGAGAGAGGGAGAAAGGAAGGAAGAAGGCAGGGGACTCTTACCACGTTGTGGCGGAGTTCCGAGTGCGTTTGCCCCATGATCCGAGGCCTTGGATCCGTGTGTTCCGGATTCCGAAGGGCTTGGGCGCAAGGCTCCGCCGCACACGACACGGCCAGCCGCCCACAATTCCGCGCCCACCTGACCGTGAAAAATGTGTTCCAACCAACCTGCCCTGACCCTTTGTGCCAGTGATGTTTGTCGCGAATGACATGTTTCGCCATCGTAACTCTTTGGCCGACAAGTGACGACCGCCGGTCGCATGGCCGGTTGCGACCAACTGGTCTTCCTTGCGTCCTTATATGCTTTAACTCGGTTTTTTTTTTGCTGCCACCTTAAAGCTGCAGCACGTGTGTTCCTTTATACCTTTGATGTTATGTGTTTTATAAATAACATGAGTTCAAGTGTAGCATCCTACGTTTGCTCATTGTGTTTTATAGTCATTGTTTACCAACTGTAGGTGTTCTGCACACGTGGCCATGGCAACAGTTGTTGTCAGAGTCCCAAGGCTGCAAGAGCCAATCAGCGTCTAGTAGGACCATATCCCAACTGTTGTTTTTTGGCGGGAGAATCATCCAGCCCAGGGTTGGATGACCAGATCTGGACACGGGCTTCTGTGTGTGGTGGATGGGTATGAATAGATGTTTTCGTGCTCATTTGCTCCTTTTCATTTGCATTTCATGTTCCGCAAGCTCTTTGAGATCTTTTCTTCCAGCACCTGTTAGTCCACCAGCGTAATCTTTTAAGCCTGCTTGGCCCACTGGCATAACATTGGCGATCCTCGACATAGTGACGTAGGTCGTATAGAGTGGGTTTTTTTTTTGGGTCAGCCCGGTTAGGATAACTGCAGTCGTACTTGTTAGGTCGCATATGTAGGCGCAGATGTGTGTGGTATAATATTTTGTCGGTAGAACTGTTTGTATTTGCCCGGAACAATTGTCATAGGTCGTCCGCTCTTGTAGGCGGACATCTTCGACGTTAGGCTTCTTTTATCGGTAAAGGTATTCGCTCCCAATCCATAATATCGTCGAACCCACGAAAGTTATGTACAAGCATAAGGGTTCCGTAGATGATTATATCCGTATAATGGTAGGAACTTATTTTCGTTGTTTCGTTGTAGAGAATTAAAGCGGTAAAACAAAGTGTGACAGAGCTATACGGTACGGGACAGTCAAGCGACCCTGTATACGCAAGTTGTAGGCGCAGATATATATGTAAACGCAAGTTGTAGGCGGTGTTCGAAGACCAATGTGTAGACGTCTGAAGCACAGACTCTCTTACGCCTTCTGCGCTTAGCCCACTAAGCATTCTGCCTATGTTATCTGCACACTTGCGAATCGTTACCACCTACCGCGGCTGTCACCATCCGATTCTTTCGTCTAGTCTCGGTTGCTAGCTAATAAATTAGGAATCTGTGAATGGCCGACAGCTCGGTCCACTCTCGCCCCATGGCAGCCCAGGGCGCAGAGGATGGAGAAATAGACCTAGAGGACGTTGAAAATACTGACCCAGACTACGCACAGGATCGCGAGAACGATAGCGAGTTTGAGGCGACCGAGGAGGATTTGTTTCAGGGTGGTATCTACGAACCATCCGTCCGGATTCAAGTCCAGGGGAGTGAAGAAGAGAGTGAAGGGCCGGGAGGCGATGGAGTGCGCCCACGACCCGGTGCACCCGAAGAACGGTACGAGGAGGATGGAGATCACTCTGACGCAGAAGAGGAGGGAGAATCATCGCCGGGACGACGACGACCTCCCGATTCTGCGAGCCATGTCGAGCAGGCTGTGGCCCCCGGAAATGCGCAGCGGCAGACCGACGTTGCGGAAAAGGAGAGCAGGATCCGGCGTTCAACAATCCCGCTTCGACTGATAGAGGCCGGGACGAGAAGGCACTATTGTTTCCACTTTCTACACTTCAAGTGGTGGGTGATCATCTTCATGGCAACTATGGTAGATGTCCCTGTGGCAGATAGCCTTGCTCCCTCTCTGCATGACGAGGTTGGGTTTCATATGAGCAATAACTTGGGAAACGATGGGTGGTCGTGCAGCTCTGATGAGTGGCAGATTCATCTGCACGGGCCGCGAATCACGGAATGGAGGCTCGGCCGATACATCGAGTATCTCTTCTGCGAAACTGACGAGCAGGCAAAGTTTTTGCGTGGAAAAATGCGGCCAGACGTCGAGAAATATGTGGGGAAGGAGGCAAAGGGGTGCACGGCTTCAATGATCAAGGCAAAGATGAACGCAATGGGATGCCTTGCCAGGTGCGAGGCGAGGCTCTACGGCTTCTCCATCACACTGACCAAGGACTGGATCAAGGATGCTCGGGATTTTTTCAAAGTGAAGCTGAAGGATCTGAACGACGAGCAAGTCGCGTGAGTAACGTATACGGGTGCTTTCTGTTTGTGTGAATGTTGTTCTACATGGTTTACCTAATTACTGTGCTATTCTATGCAGGGATGGTCGAGATCAAACCCGTGGATCAATTGGTGATTGCTATACGGGAAGCCAGTATAGGACGCTGCATCTTACTGTTCTGCGAAAAGAGCTCCTAGAGATCTGGTGGCGGACGCCTCCGTCACAAATCTCGCTTCCTCTCTGGAAGGCTCTGCAAGTCCCGGTTATGATGCACCTCGGACACCAATTTCTCGGAAGAGGGTGCAGCATTCGAAAGATTCGACTTGGGAACCTCTTTGTCCGCATGACGCGGAGCACATCACACCTCGACGACTATCTGGACGTTTTCGTACTCGTCGTTGTTTCCATGAAGTCGAAGACCAACCCCAACAACAAGCTGAATCATCAGTTTCTTGCAAGGCATAGGGACTGGCGGCTCTGCGGAATGGGCCATGTGTTCCTGTGGCTATATTTCATCTACGACCTCGTTCCTCTGCGCTACGGCCCCGGTATCGTCGAGCCTCTCGACTTTTCTGAACCGATCTTGTGGACGAAAGGGCACCTCTTCTTTTCTTTGAAGAAGGGCGACCAGGGAGAGCAGAAGCAAGACGAGATGCACTACAAAACGCATAACACCTGGATTAAGTGGGCCATGACAAAGGCGAGATGGATTCTGAGCAAGGTAACACATGCATTCCGCGGATCCGGAGCGCAACAACTCCATGACGACGGTTGCTCCGACAACGATATCGGCACTCTGGGCGGATGGGCGCAGGGGGAGTTGCGGAGGTGTTATGTGTTCGGCATACCGTTCAAGCCGGTTTGGCTGCTGGCAGGATTCAGCGGGGATCGTGGAGACTACTACATCGGCAGAGCCCGCGCCAAGCTTCCGCGGCATAAGGTTAAGGAGAAGGATGAGTGGTTGCAGCTCTTGGATCTCTTGAGGCTTCACATTTTCCCCCGGGTCGAAGAGGGTTGGAAGAAGGTACGTGCTAGTGTACAGTCTTCGCGTTCGTAGCTTAATTTTGATACGCAATGATGAACCGTCCCATTTCTCCTGCATACTCGTCCCGTCAGGTCGAAGAATGGAACGCTGCGCAGACCGATCCGCTGAAGAGGCACTATGCGGGGGCGAGGTTCCTAGACACCCTCGCCAGCATCGGACGCCTCGTTGTTGCACAGGATCTGGCTATGATGTGGGCGTTCTGCCATCAGCACGGCGTGAGAAACCCGCGGTGCAATTGCGAGAGGCATCCATATGTGCAGATGAGCCCCTTGTGCAACCACCCGCTGTTCCAAAAGTGGGCGTACCTGGTCGCTATCTCTCACTTCCAGGGCGAGAAGCTTCGGGCAACCGGCCAAACCACCGCCAAAGCAATAAGTGCCTGCTATTAGTGGTAGAGAGGAGTTATTCGTTCATGCTGAGTTCTGCCGTGCTGGTTTCTGCAGGACGCTATCTTTCGCACGACCGCAGAAGAGAAGCTGCATAAGATGCACCTCACCGCCAATATGCTCAGGGAGGAGCTTGGGATTTTGAGAGGACGTGAAATGCAGTTGGCGATGGAGAACGCTGAACTGAGGGAGAAACTCGCCGCTGAGCGAGAGGACAAGGCTCGGGTCATTGCAGAGCTCGAAGCATACAAGAGGTTTGTTGCGGCCAGGGATGACGCGGCAAACACCTCTGCAGAGATCGACGGATCGTCGAAGAGCGCGGGAACAGGAGGAAACCAGGCAACGGACGCATCCAAAGCACCAGTTGCCGTCCAAGAATTCTTCGTTGTGGTCGTTGTGTCTTGGCGCGAAGCCACCACTGTTGCTGCTGCCTGGAAAGTGTGGGTGCAGCCAAGCCTCATCATGGGCGGCCGGTCACTGCGCGAAGTCTTTGCAGAGTTCGACCGGTATAAGAAGAAGGACAAGAATTCCAGCTTCATCACCGCATATTCCCGGTTCGCTGTCAAAGGTACGCCCGGGATGGCTGTGGGTGCATGCGAGCGAAAGATGCATCGCGTGCATCGTGTCATGGTTTCCGTGGAGACACTAAGAAAAGACAGCTCCGAGGCGGCGACCGCAACGGCCATTAAGCTGCTGGACGAGGTTTTACTCGTGTGCAACTTCACGGAATTCACCAACGGCCTGGCTGTGCTGCATGAGACTCCGACCATCAAGAAACAGAAGACCGGTTCGTCGACGGAAAAGAGGACCGTCAACGACCTGGCGCAACGCAGAGTGGGCTGGCTGTTAGTCAAGAAGGGCCTTCGCGACCAGGAGTGGGCAACTTCGCTGTTTGGTGATGATGAGTGGGAGGAGATCCACAAGGAACACATGGCGCAGAAGAAGGCGGAAGAGGAGAAACAACGAACCGCTGCGGCGAAGAAGGCGGAACGGGAAAAGGCGAAGGGCGAAGCGTCGAAACGCAAGGAGCAGAAATGAGGGGGCATGTACCTTAAGGGTGGGGCGGTTTAGTTATTTGGGTACTTTATTCCGGTTGTACCGAATATGCACTACAGGCACTTGTCTGTCTCTGTAGAAGCCCGATTTGGGGCTTGTATGCCACCTTATTCCCTGGGCGCGCTGTTTTTCGTAGAATGTTTTTCTGGTGTATGCAATGAAGCACACATCGATGGTATACACCGGGCGAAATTCTGCGGAGTCATGTCGTATCGTATACGATTTTATTCTACAGAGCGGCGTCGATGAATTCACTCTCACGATTGTAGATGTGTGTTCTTAGGTCACTCGGTAGACTTTTGCGTGGATTTATTCAGTCTCAGCATATGTTTCTGGGCAAAGCAGTGTCATATTTTACTAGTAGCAACGAAGATCCTATCCATGACGGTAGATATTATCAACACGTCGGTTTTTCTGCGGTATAGTGGCGTTTCCAATTTGCCTCCAGAATTCGGCGTCGAGGAATTCAATCTCCATAGCAGAAAGGTCTGTGCATATGAATACCGTATACGTTCTTAACAAGGTGCTCCCTTAGACAAGATGTTATGCGATTGTTTAGCCCCATACTTCTACCTCTTCGTAGAAGCCGAGTATTAAACGTAGATTAAGTGTCGTAGAAGGCCGTCCTGTCGTCAATTTTTTTATTCGCCTGGCCCTCCCTTTGATGGCGAGTTCTATCGGCTGCATTGCTAGCTCCATACGCGCCCTACAAATTTTGCTAGTGTAGTGAAGGTTTGCATAGCAAAAATACATCTCTCATTGTATTGTATACAACAACACCTATATTTATACACGGTTAAATAAAAAAAACGAAAAGGAAAATCTATTTCTACTGCGGTACTAACAAGACCTCCAAAGAACCCGTCTGCCTCTATCAATCCTGGCCGCCAGTGCCGGTGTTCTCCTCCGTCGACGCATCCTTCGTCGCGTTCCCCTTCGCGGACGATTTCTTGGTTTTCTTCTCCTTATCCGCCCCTGTTGTGGTATCCCGGCCGCCCAACTTCTTCTGCAGGACTCCGAGCCAGACGCCCTGGTGCTGGCGAAGGCCTCTTGATGCCATGCTGCATAGGCACCAAGAGGTCACCACCTTTGCCACCACCCTCGTCATCCGCTTCGCATCCTCGGCCGCTCGCGACTCTGCCGGAAGCGCTTTCAGCAGCGCATCCGACAGGGGCAGAATCCACGCTTCCTTGTCATGCTCCTGATCCTTTACCGACCTCATCGCCTCAACCGCAACGCAAGCAACCGAGGCTGCAAGCGTCGCAAGGGCATTGTGGACGGCAGAGGGCATATCGGCCGCAGAAGATGACGAGGCATCCGACGAGGCGGTGGCAGCAGTGGACGATCTGGCAGCAAAAGATGCTATGGCCGTAGAAGTTCCACGTGCAGCTGTTGTTGCGCCCGTCTCCCACTGGGTCTGGTCCACATTCGTGGATGCGGCCCACATTACAGACAACGTGGCGGCAAGTCCGATTGCGTGTTCTTCCGTCGAATAGCCGTTTTCACCCTCCACGCCTCCCACCATCTTCTGCCACGCAGTTATTCCGACACCAGCGCAGGCAGCTACCTGAAAGCCATCCCCCTGCTGCTGCCAAAGAGCCGTGTTGGTTTGAACGAGTGAGAATCTGCACAAGACACCAGTGTCGCAAGATCAGAACCATCGAACTTCGCGGGTGTTTAGAAGTTGCAACTGTACATCACATAAACACTCACCCGTCCGGTTTGTCCAGGTGGAGTTCGTTGATGACGCTCCACACCCCTGTTGGAAGCCACGTTGTGAAGTCGAGGTCTTCCCGCCACTTGTTTATACGGTTTGGATTCATGCCGTATGCCTGCATGTCAATATCCGGGAAGTAGAACTTCCAGCAGACTGCGACCGTGTATGCCCTCTCCCACACCGTTTTGTGAGAGCCGAGGTTCCGCTTCCGGCCGCTGACGGTCTGCTCAGACGTCCACTTCTGCAAAGCTCCCTCGCCCCGTTGAGAGAACCCGCTTCCCCTGAACGGCAGGCAGACACCCAAAGTCTTACCCTTGTCGTCCACTACGGCGTTTTTCCTGTTGTCACACTTGTCGATCTTCATCCCTTTCTTTTCCCCTTGGATTATGGGTATCAACTCCTGTATTCCAGTTGCACACCGTCTCTTAGCCGCATGACCCTCCGGCTCCCTGTCCTCTTGTCTAGGCCGCCTCCTGGACACCTCTACATTCCGTACAGGAACACTAGGCACGCCCTCTGCTACATTCGCCTCCCCGCTCTCAATCAACAGCAAAGTCCCCAACCCCTCAACTATTTCCTCCTCGACTCCTGTCCAGGTCCCCTCCCCCTGCATGGTCAAATCCTCCTCGACTCCTGTCCAGGTCCCCTCCCCCTGCATGGTCAAATCCTCCTCTTCCATCTCCCTTGCCAATCGTTCCGTCTCTTCAGCCATCGCCTTTGCCTTTGCCTCCAGTTGCCGCTGCTGTTCCGCGTAGGATGCAAGTCTGGCCCTCTTCTCTGCTCGGCATTGCTCCGCCTTCTGCAGGCGCTCCATCTCCTGCTGTTTCGCCCTCTGCTGCCGCTCCGCCTCCTCTGCCTCCTTCTTCTGCGCTTCCTCCTTCTGCAGGCGCTCCATCTCCTGCTGTTTCGCCCTCTGCTGCCGCTCCGCCTCCTCTGCCTCCTTCTGCGCTTCCTCCTTCTGCAGGCGCTCCATCTCCTGCTGTTTCGCCCTCTGCTGCCGCTCGGCCTCCTCTGCCTCCTTCTTCTGCGCTTCCTCCTTCTGCAGGCGCTCCATCTCCTGCTGTTTCGCTCTCTGCTGCCGCTCGGCCTCCTCTGCCTCCTTCTGCGCTTCCTCCTTCTACAGGCGCTCCATCTCCTGCTGTTTCGCCCTCTGCTGCCGCTCGGCCTCCTCTACCTCCTTCTTCTGCGCTTCCTCCTTCTACAGGCGCTCCATCTCCTGCTGTTTCGCCCGCTGCTGCCGCTCGGCCTCCTCTGCCTCCTTCTTCTGCGTCTCCTCCTTCTGCAGGCGGTCCAATTCCTGCTGTTTCGCCCTCTGACGCCGCTCTACCTCCTCTGCCTCCTTCCTCTGACTGTCCTCCTCCTGCAGGCGCGCCATCTCCTGCTGTTTCTCCCTCTCCTGCCTCTCGGCCTCCTCTGCATCTTTCCGCTGCGCCTCCTCCTTCTGCAGGAGCGCCATCTCTTGCTGTTTCTCCCTCTCCACCCGCTCTGCTTCCTCTGCCTCCTTCCTCTGCGCATCCTCCTTCTATCGCCGATCTCCCTCCGTTGCCTTCCTACCCTGCTCCTCCTTTTGCCGCCGCTCTGCGTCCAATCTCAGAACCATTGACAGCCGCTTTTCCACCTCACTTATCATCCCCTCCCTCCACCCCGTAATCCCCGTCTTCATCTCCTTCACAGCCTCCATCACTTCCTTCATTCCCGCCTCCACCTCCTTCTGCCGTCGCTCTTCCTCCTGATGTTTGTTCTTCCTCCGCCGCTCTGTGGCCTCTACGTCCTTCCTCTTCACCTCCTCCTCCTTCCGCCATTGCTCGTCCAGTTGTATCCTCTTGCGTCTCTCCTCGTCGTCCGCCACTTGTTTCCTCTTCGCGTCCTGCTGTTGTCGCCGCTCCGCGTCCACTTGCCTCTCCTTCTTCTGCCGCTCGGATTCTTCTCGCAAAACCGCGCTCAACCTCCCCACAATCTGGTTTACCATCCCATCCTTCATCTCCTTCATTTCTGCCTTCATCTCCTTCATCATCGCCTCCTTCATCTCCTTCATTCCCTCTCTCATCTCCTTCTGCCGACGCGCTTCCTCCTGCTGTTGTTCCTTCTTCCGTCTCTCTGCGGCGTCTGCTTCCTTCCTCATGGCCTTCTGCCTCCGCTCCTCGTCCTGCAGTCTATCCCTGTTCCGCCGCTCAGACTCTTCTCTCAGAACCTCTCTCAACCTCTCTTCCACCCCCTTTAACGTGCCCTCCGCCATCCCCCCTCCCGACTGGCGAACCTGATCACTCACCCTTACGATACTCTCCTGCAAGTTGGAGAGTCTCGTGTCCACCTCCTCGCGAAACCTGGCCGCCGTTTCAGCTTGGCGCCGCCGTTCCTCGTTTCCATGGCGGACTTCTTCCAGGTTGGCCAGGGCGTCGCGACAGTAATGGACGGTCAGATCGGCCACGTCGCGACTGATGCTGCTGTTGCGGGCCGCCAAGTTGCAGAACGTCTGCGTCACCATTCGGGCTAAGAGCGTCAGACGACGCGTTACCTCTGCCGGGCTTATGTCCCAGCTTTCGGCCTCAACGAACCTGTCACCTTGTTCGACCAGGACTGTACTCGTCCGATGCAGCATCCGCCGTATTGCCGTCTCTGCCTCGACCCACTCTACCTGCCAAAACGCTTCTGCCACCCCGCCTTGGCCGAGATTCCTCTCCACTGCTCTCTGGTGAAGGGTGGGCCGCCTCTGCCTGTTGAGACCCACTGTATCCCTAGGCGCCCCATCGTCTGCCACCCTCCATGGCCCCTCTACCCCGGTTCCTGGTCCCCGCGTCGGACTTCCTCCCAAAAATATCCGTACTGCCGGATGTACCGTATCCTCCTCATTCTGCTCCTCTTCTGTTTCCAGCGCATCTCCCTCGTAGTGCCCCACTCCAGCCTCCGGGACGACACGAACCTCCTCCATAGTATTTTGACGCCCTGTCTCTGCCATGCTCTGCGTCTCTCGGTATGCGAATACCTGCGACGCTGCCTCCTCGTTATGCTGCCCCTCTTCCTCTGCGATGATGTGCCCCTCAGCACCCGCCGTCTCCCGTCCCTCTGTCTGTACCATTTTATTCCCATCTGAACCGTCCTCTCCATCTGGCTTCCTTCGTGCGTCTGCCTCAGCCTGCTTCTGCTCCTCGGCCTCTGACATCTTCTGCGCAACACCCTCCGCCTTCTTCTGCGCCTCTCCAACAGCCTTCTTCCGCGCTTCAGCCCGAGCCAGTTGTAGTGCCTCTTCCGCAGCCTGTTTCTGCTCCTCTGCCTCCGCCTTCTGCCGCGCCGCTGCTTCTGCCTTATTCCGAGCCTCTCCTTCCTTATGTGCGTCTGCCTCCTCCATATGCAGCGCCGCTGCCTTATCCTTCTCCCTCGCCGCTGCCTCTGATTCCTTCTGCGCCTCTGCCTCAACCATGTTCGACGCCGCACCCTCCTCCTTCTGCAGCGCCGCTGCCTCTGATGCCTTCTGCGCCTCTGCCTCAACCATCTTCGGCGCCGCACCCTCCTCCTTCTGCAGCGCCCCTGCCTCTGATGCCTTCTGCGCCTCTGCCTCAACCATCTTCGGCGCCGCACCCTCCTCCTTCTGCAGCGCCGCTGCCTCTGATGCCTTTTGCGCCTCTGCCTCAACCATCTTCGGCGCCGCACCCTCCTCCTTCTGCTGCGCCGCTGCCTCTGATTCCTTCTGCGCCTCTGCCTCAACCATCCTGGGCGCCGCACCCTCATCCTTCTGCTGCGCTGCTGCCGCTGATTCCTTATGTGCGTCTGCCTCATCATTCTGCTGCGCCGCTGCCTCATCCTTCTGGCTCGCCATTGCCTCTGATTCCTTCTGCGCCACTGCCTCCACAACCATCAGCTCGACTGCCTCCGACGTCAGCTCTGCTGCTGCACCCGCTTCTTTACGCGCGACTGCCTCCGCACCCTTGACCGCCTCTGCACCCACCTTCTGCTGCGCCGCAGACTCTGCTTCCTTTGGCGCCCCGTCCTCTGCCGTAAGTACCGCCTCTGCATCGACGAACCGATGGGCCGCATCCTCTGCATTCTGGTGCGCCTCTACCTCCACCATCTTATGAGCCTTAGCACCCGCGTTGCTCTCCTCCTTCTTTTTCGCCTCTCCCGAATTCTCTGGCACGTCGACGTCCCCTCTCCGGGCCTCTTCTGCCGCCTTCCGCTTTAGGCTGGGCAAGCGAACTTTCACGTATCCCCTATCCTCCTCGATATGCTGCCGCACATTGCTGGCGAGCTCCTCTCCTGCCTCTCCCACGTGTGCCCTTGCAGCGGCTCGTGCCCCACGCTCCCATGCTTCACGTATGTCTCCAGTTCCCGGGAAAGAGACGGTAGGATCGGTGCCGCCATCACTGCGCCGCTGCATCTCTTCAGCCCGTCTACTCTTGGCTTCTGCTTCGACCATCCGCTTTTCATCAGCCGCCTTCCTCCAGTGCTCCTCTGCCTGTTCGACCTGACTTGGCAGCTGTGGATCTTCTACACCCTCCTCGCCTTCATCTGCTACGCTTGCCAAGTCGGTCTCCGTCCGTGCTTCGCGTTCCTGCGGCATCCTAACCCGATCAGCAAACCTGTGCTGCCTATCTCCAGACCTATCACGCTCGTCAGCAGTGGCTGCCCTTGATGTCGGGCCACTGAGTACTGCATCCCTCGGTGCAGGTCGGCGGGAATATGAAATAAACCCAACTCTTGGATTTGCGTCCCGGTTTGCGGCAGGTACGTCTATCTGTCCCTCTACCGCTTCGGATCTGTTCTGTGCGGGTGCGCTCTCTACCACTCGAGCACAGTGGGTCGTCATGACTGCATCCGGGGCAGGACGGAGCTGGACTCCTTGCAGGTCGAAGAAGGCCCTGCAGGTCGACTCCAGCATACTCCGAATTTCTTTTGCGCTGTTTTTCCCCTTCCCTAAGACCATCATCGGCTCTACAGACTGAATCGCCATGACATCCCCCCATTTGTCCAGCAACTTGCTGAACACATGGGTAACATGCAGCCCGGAACCCACTTGCCTCTGTCCCTGAACCTTGTTGATCTGCAACATGTGCATGAAAAGGTGGTTGTCAGACACTCCCGTTACTTTGTACAAGCTTGATATCATACAATGCTTAAATCATAAAAATAGAGGCTCCTTCCTTACCCTGCCTTCCTCCAGAATCAGATCATTTAGGCGAGCCCTCAAATCTTTCTGCACCGCTTCGGCGTGGCTGCCAGAGACCCTGCGACCTCGGCTGTATTCCACATCTAGTTGTCGGATAAGCCAGCTGCAGGGCAAGGGGGTCGCAAATAATCAATATCATGCGTCCACACAAACCGCACATCTGCTGAAGGAGTGATACCTACTCGAACACCTCCTTGGCATGCTCGCTGTGGCGATGGGTTGGGATTGCAGATTTAGGGTCGAAGTGTAGCACACGCGTACGGTACTCTCCGCGGGGATGTGCTAACAAATCTTGCGGGTTCATCAGCACCATGAGACTGATCGCCGTCGAGCGAACAACAGCGACTCTGCGGTACATGGAAGTTTGGATTAGCAAGATAGCTGGTGTCATCGACACACGTTGCGGATACATGTCAGGAAACTCACTCTGATATCATGGGTATTAAAACCATCTGGTAGTCCAACAGCGACCGATGTTCGCTGCCACAACTGGGGACACGCGGGACAGCAGACCTCAAACGCCGATGCTCGGTAGGAGCCAGAATCTTTATGTCTTTGCGAACGCGAGGATCCCCAATCTTGTCCTTGGCAACCTCCCTGCATCCAAGCCGACATGTCGCAGAGGTAAGAAGATAGCAGGTGCCTGTCTAAAAAACAAGGGTTCAACGTGTCGATGAAGTCAGCGTGCGTTACAAACCGCGCTTGGATACATACACTAGGCCGAAAAGTAACAACGCCTTGTTCCACTCTTCCTGACGAGCGATTAACCTTTCATAAGACTCCCGCCCTAGTCGTACCGACAATCCGCAGCCGTCTGTGATTAGCTGGGACGACATCGCGTAAGTATGCCAGAAGATGGCAGGTAGCTAAACGGTTACTAACAAACACTCTCTACCTGCAGGATAAGAGGCCGACACTAGAATGAGAGGGAAGCTTGTGAGACTAGTTGTGGAACCTCGACTCAGATTGGAATGGCGAGAATGACGTCGAGCTTTGGTGCACCCACCCTGATCCCAACTTCTGCTTCGCTGGTAGAATTGGTTGTGCTCTGTCCTCAAACGCCAGGCGTAGTAAGAATTTTCTGCCCCATGGCTCAAAATATTAGGCTTCTCACCATTTCCCTTCGACCATTTGCGAACTACTCTTTGCCATGTTAGCATATTGCATGTTCTGCGGTGCCATTGCATGGTCTCAGCTTTGCCTCGACCTCGTACGAAATGGTGACGGGCAGCCCCTAAAAAAAACGAATGGTGTCCTGTGACAGGTTAATGACAGGCTGCCACGTATAGCTATCCCATCCGCATGGTTCCCTCCGCAACCTGGAAATAGAGCTGTCTCTGCGACCTGTCACACGTGTCAGAAATCGAATGACACCCTACATCCGAGAGTACCGCTATAGGGGTACTTGTGTAGCACGTATAGTACTAGTTTTTGTAACCCATAATTCAAACACAAGCATGAACTTTGCATGATTAGCACACCCAATACTATAACGGGTAATCCTATAAGTGTGAGATGAGTGCCCTATCATTAGCACCCGTATAACAGTGGCATTGGAGTACAAAACAAATGTTGTACATTTCACCAAAGTGCTCTGCTCCCGCCTGCAGAGGAGAGAGTGAAAAACATACTACACGTCTACGAAAAAAAATGAATTTCAGGTGGGGGTCTGGAATATGTGTGGTGAGAGTCCCCTATAAAAATCAGCTCATTTGCTCAAAGAGAAGTGGGTGATTACAATTGAAACCTGATTCCAGGCAATTCTGCACAGAATTCTGCAGACTGCTGCACATCAAGGCTTAAAACACATATCAAACCTTGAGCAAATGAGGTGAATTTCAAGTGGAGAACTGGAATATGTGTGGTGAGAGTCCCCTATAAAAATCAGCTCATTTGCTCAAGGAGAAGTGGGTGATTACTATTGAAACCTGATTCCAGGCAATTCTGCACAGAATTCTGCAGACTGCTGCACAGCAAGGCTTAAAACACATATCAAACCTTGGGCAAATGTGATGAATTTCATGTGGGGGTCTGGAATAAGTGTGGTGAGAGACCCCTATAAAAATCAGCTCATTTGCTCAAGGAGAAGTGGGTGATTACTATTGAAACCTTATTCCAGGCAATTCTGCACAGAATTCTGCAGACTGCTGCACAGCAAGGCTTAAAACACATATCAAACCTTGGGCAAATGAGGTGAATTTCATGTAGAGGTCTGGAATATGTGTGGTAAGAGTCTCCTATAAAAATCAGCTCATTTGCTCAAGGAGAAGTGGGTGATTACTATTGAAACCTGATTCCAGGCAATTCTGCACAGAATTCTGCAGACTGCTGTACAGCAAGGCTTAAAACACATATCAAACCTTTGGCAAATGAGATGAATTTCATGTGGGGGTCTGGAATATGTGTGGTGAGAGTCCCCTATAACAATCAGCTCATTTGCTCAAGGAGAAGTGGGTGATTACTATTGAAACCTGATTCCAGGCAATTCTGCACAGAATTCTGCAGACTGCTGCACAGCAAGGCTTAAAACACATATCAAACCTTGGGCAAATGTGATGAATTTCATGTGGGGGTCTGGAATATGTGTGGTGAGAGTCCCCTATAAACATCACCTCATTTGCTGAAGGCGAAGTGGGTGATTACAATTGAAACCTGATTCCAGGCAATTCTGCACAGAATTCTGCAGACTGCTGCACAGCAAGGCTTAAAACACATATCAAACCTTGGGCAAATGAGGTGAATTTCATGTGGGGGTCTGGAATAAGTGTGGTGAGAGTCCCCTATAAAAAGCAGCTCATTTGCTCAAGGAGAAGTGGGTAATTACTATTGAAACCTGATTCCAGGCAATTCTGCACAGAATTCTGCAGACTGCTGCACAGCAAGGCTTAAAACACATATCAAACCTTCGGCAAATGTAATGAATTTCATGTGGGGGTCTGGAATATGTGTGATAAGAGTCCCCTATAAAAATCAGCTCATTTGCTCAAGGAGAAGTGGGTGATTACTATTGAAACCTGATTCCAGGCAATTCTGCACAGAATTCTGCAGACTGCTGCACAGCAAGGCTTAAAACACATATCAAACCTTGGGCAAATGAGGTGAATTTCATGTGGGGATCTGGAATATATGTGGTGAGAGTCCCCTATAAACATCAGCTCATTTGCTCAAGGCGAAGTGGGTGATTACAATTGAAACCTGATTCCAGGCAATTCTGCACAGAATTCTGCAGACTGCTGCACAGCAAGGCTTAAAACACATATCAAGCCTTAGGCAAATGAGGTGAATTTCATGTAGAGGTCTGGAATATGTGTGGTAAGAGTCTCCTATAAAAATCAGCTCATTTGCTCAAGGAGAAGTGGGTGATTACTATTGAAACCTGATTCCAGGCAATTCTGCACAGAATTCTGCAGACTGCTGCATAGCAAGGCTTAAAACACATATCAAACCTTTGGCAAATGAAGTGAATTTCATGTAGAGGTCTGGAATATGTGTGGTGAGAGTCCCCTATAACAATCAGCTCATTTGCTCAAGGAGAAGTGGGTGATTACTATTGAAACCTGATTCCAGGCAATTCTGCACAGAATTCTGCAGACTGCTGCACAGCAAGGCTTAAAACACATATCAAACCTTTGGCAAATGAGGTGAATTTCATGTGGGGGTCTGGAATAAGTGTGGTGAGAGTCCCCTATAAACATCAGCTCATTTGCTCAAGGCGAAGTGGGTGATTACAATTGAAACCTGATTCCAGGCAATTCTGCACAGAATTCTGCAGACTGCTGCACAGCAAGGCTTAAAACACATATCAAGCCTTGGGCAAATGAGGTGAATTTCATGTAGAGGTCTGGAATATGTGTGGTAAGAGTCTCCTATAAAAATCAGCTCATTTGCTCAAGGAGAAGTGGGTGATTACTATTGAAACCTGATTCCAGGCAATTCTGCACAGAATTCTGCAGACTGCTGCACAGCAAGGCTTAAACCACATATCAAACCTTGGGCAAATGGGGTGAATTTCATGTGGGGGTCTGGAATATGTGTGGTGAGAGTTCCCTATAAAAATCAGCTCATTTGCTCAAGGAGAAGTGGGTGATTACTATTGAAACCTTATTCCAGGCAATTCTGCACAGAATTCTGCAGACTGCTGCACAGCAAGGCTTAAAACACATATCAAACCTTGGGCAAATGAGGTGAATTTCATGTGGGAGTCTGGAATACGTGTGGTGAGATTCCTCTTTAAACATCAGCTCATTTGCTCAAGGCGAAGTGGGTGATTACAATTGAAACCTGATTCCAGGCAATTCTGCACAGAATTCTGCAGACTGCTGCACAGCAAGGCTTAAAACACATATCAAACCTTGGGCAAATGAGGTGAATTTCATGTGGGAGTCTGGAATATGTGTGGTGAGAGTCCCCTATAAAAATCAGCTCATTTGCTCAAGGAGAAGTGGGTGATTACTATTGAAACCTGATTCCAGGCAATTCTGCACAGAATTCTACAGACTGCTGCACAGCAAGGCTTAAAACACATATCAAACCTTGGGCAAATGTGATGAATTTCATGTGGGGGTCTGGAATATGTGTGGTGAGAGTCCCCTATAAACATCAGCTCATTTGCTCAAGGAGAAATGGGTGATTTCAATTGAAACCTGATTCTAGGCAATTCTGCACAGAATTCTGCAGACTTCTGCACAGCAAGGCTTAAAACACATATCAAA